GCTCTCTCACCTGCCCCTCCCCCGACTCTCTCTGATTGGCAGAGGCAGGAGTAGAGGGCGTGGCTACAGGTGACAGCTCAACATAGTCAAATTTGCTGTGGGCGGGGTTTGCGGTGGCGGAGGAGGCCTCTGATTGGCTGCGGAGGCGGAGGGATGAGGAATGACGGGTGTTTTCTTTATCGCTGCTGCAGATGGGAAGCCTGAAACACACAAGCACAGATCCACCACGTCAACGACTCATTAGTGTCTCATCAGCACTGCAGCTAACGAGTGGAGTCGATTAACCTGCTGATCATCAGATCGAAATCATGCTCAGTGCTCTCCATCAAACTGACGTCTATTTAATCCACGCGTGGCGCAAAATATAAAGGCTCTGAAAGAAAGCGGTGATAAGAAAAAGACACTGACTGAAGCAGAACAATTACAGATTGAAAAATCAATCAAGAAATATAGTTCTATAGTAATAAAACCATTGTAAAATAAAAAAACTAAATGTAAAACGATAATAATAGAAATAAGCATTATTAATCTTATGACGTAAACATTTTTCTTTTATGAAATTTAAAAATAATAAATAGTAAATCATAATATTACTACTGTGTCTAATTAAAAAAAACAAAAAAAACAATTTAATATTTAACAGTTAAATATGTAAAAAGCAACAGTAATACGACTATTATACTGTAATATAAAAGTGAGTATAATAAGCATTATTATGAATGTACTGTATTGACTATTTTCAATATATTTAGTTTATTAACTAACATTAATAGAACTATTATTCTTTAAAAATGAGTATATAATTAATACTAATTATTACCGTTATTAAATATATTTATATAATTAAATTATAACATTTTATAAATGTTACTATTGTAATGTTACTATTATATTGTAAGTGTTTAACAATAATAATAGTTATTATTAAAAAAAAAAATTTCACAAACCATTGTTTTTAATAATAATAACCTTATTTTGCAGAACAAGAAGTAAAATTATACAAAAAATTCATGTCTGTCTTAATTTCTGTGCTGTCACTGTGCGAGTGTGTGTGTGTGTGTGTGTGTGTGTGTGTTTGTGTGTGTGTGTGTGTGTGAGTGAGTGAGTG